TAGTATCGCTTGGGCTCAGCAGGAACCCTTCTGGCTGCGCCCACAGCTAAGCTGGTATTGTCCCAGATACAGTCACATGAGATCATTTGTTTTCCCCCCCAGGTCCCTGGGTGGGAGGGCATCCCTGGCAAGCTTCTCTTAGCCCAGCTCACCACCGGTCTGGTGCCACCCTCAGCCCTATAATCCCCCCATGGCAGGCAGAAAATGATACGCTGACCCCTAATGAACCAGGCGGCACCGGCGGGAATGGAGAGAAGATGTCCCCTTGTGCCTCGGGGATGCTGAGTGATGCAGGAGAAGGAGCAGAGTGGGAGGCAGAGCAGAAAAAAAAGATGTTTTATTAGGGGTACACAGGCAAGGATGCTCCTAGTCCTGCAGAGCAGTGGGACACAGGCTGGGGGCTTCTGTTGCGGGGCAGGGGGGTGCTGGAGGCAGCCACATGTCCCTGGGCTCTGGCAGCATCTTTCATCTCCTGTTCCTCATCTTCCCCGTGTGGAGGGCAATGTAAAACCAGTGTGCCCTTTGGTGCACAGGGGATTGTCACAGATCTGACACTTCTGCCAGCCTGCCTGGGTCCCAGTCCAGCCCAGGGCAGCTCTCGCTGCTGACAAGCCACCTCCCAAGGAGGGATCAGCAAGGGGCTGTCACTGTGGGTAGTGGGTGGCGTGGGGACACCCCTGCGAGACGGGTGGGGTGTCCTGTCCCTCCTGGCAGCCGGGTCCCTGCTTGGCCATCCAGGAGCAGGCGGGGATGCAGCCCAGCCACGGTCCCACTGTCCGGCAGTTGCGTGCACTGGTCTCCTACCGGCACTGCCATCTGGCGGCATCATCAAAGGGGACGAGGGGACAGTGTGGGCAGGACTGGTCCCACCAGAGTCCACGGAGCTGGTGGGATTCCTGCTCCTGGCATGCCAGCAGGCTCACATCCCTGCGAGACATGGGGGGAGAGCAGGACCGAGGGGACAAATACCCCTCCAGCAGATTTGCCTTTCCTGGGAGGACAGGGATTGAAGGGCACTCTTGCTGCAGGTGTCACCAGGCTCCAATATCCCGCTGGGAAGAGATGAGAGCTGCCAGATCCCCCCCCTCCCACCCGGGGGGCTGTGCCTGGAGCCAGCCCATCACGTCCCCCCAGGCCACTGCCTGCCCCGCGGGCGCTGCCAGACCCGTGCCCGCAGGCAGCCAGGCCGGGCAGGTCTCCAGCGCGCACCCCAGCTGCCTCCTGAAAGGAAAACCAACCTGAGATCAGCTGAGAGCAGCGAGCAGCTTATGGGCGCTGACCTCTCCTGTTGCAGGACTGCAATCAGCCGGCAGAGGCTCGGAAAAGCTTTTCTGTAATTTGTGCCAGCTGCCAGAGGCCAAACCCTGGAGCTTTACTTCTGGAGCAAGAAGTGTGACACCCTCCAGCTCCTCAAGGACACAGGGGGCATGTTGGCTGTCCATCTGCCCCAGCCCTCCATCCCCCAAAGCCTGCCTGCTGCCACATACTCACATAATTTCCCCACTGTCTAAATTTAGGGTCTGGAAGTGGGCTAGCACGTCCCAGTTTATCTCAGCTCCTGAATTATGCATGCCAGCAGCAGAGCAGCTCTGGCTGCTCTGGGTGACGTGCCAGACTCCGGCCGGTCAGGCAGAGCAGGGAAATGTGCTGCCTGCCCAGCCCCAGCTCCCACCCTCGGCTCCGTGCGGGCAGATACCCCTCGGTCCCCCTTGCCCCGGGGTCTGGCTCCCCAGGGGGTGTGAGTTCAGGCTGGGGGGTGTGCTGGAGCTGGGGGTGTGCTGGAGCCAGGATGTGTGTTGTCAGAACCAGAAAGAAGGGCCACTATAGGCAACAAAAGGAAGACCAGGGAAAATATAGGTCCACTGCTCCACAGGATGGGAGCCCTGGTGCTGCAGGACATGTGAAAGGCTGAAGAACTGAATGTTGCCTTTGCCTCCATACTTGCAAGACCAATCTTCAGGAAACCCAGGTCCCAGAGACCATGGAGAAAGGCTGGAGCAAGGAAGAGGATCAGGCCAAGGGATACTTAAACAAACATGACATACATAATCCCATAGGCCCTGCTGGGATGCACTCATGTGGGCTGAGGGAGGTGACCGATGCCATGGCGAGGCCACCCTCAACAACCTTTGATTGGTCATGGTGACTGGGAAAAGAGCCCGAAGGCTGAAGAAAGGCACATGTCACTTCTGTCTTCAAAAAGGGTAAGGGGCACCCAGGGAGCTGTGGGCCCGTTGCCTCACCTTGATCCTAGGAAGGTGATGGAGCAATCCTGGAAACCATTTCCAGACACATTAAGGGAAAGAAGTCAGCATGGCTGTACTAAGGGGAAGCCGTACTTGACCAGCTTGATAAACTTCTACAGTGAAAGGACTGGCTTGGTAAAAGAGGGGGGAGAAGTGGGTATTGTCTACCTGGACTTCAGGAAGGCCTTTGACACTGTCACCCATAAGATCATCATAGAGGAGCCGTTGGTGCAGGTCCATGAGCAGAGAGTGAGGTGGGTTGAAAACTGGCTGAATGCCTGGGCCCAGGGGCGGTGATCAGTGGCACCAAGTCTAGTTGGAGGCCAGTCACTAGTGGTGTACCCCAGGGGTCTGTACTGGGTCCAGTCCTGCTTAACATCTTCATTAACGATCAGGGTGCAGAGTGGGAGCTCAGCAAATTTGCAGATGACACCAAACTGGGAAGGGTGGCTGATATAGCAGAGGGTTGTGCTGCCATCCAGAGGGATATCACATCAGGCTGGAGAAATGGGCTGACAGGAACCTCATGAAGTTCCATGAGGGGAAGGACTAAGACCTGCTGCTGGGGAAGAACGATCCCAGGCACCAGCACATGCTGGGGGCTGCCCAGCTGAAAAACAGCTCTGCAGAAAAGGGCCTGGGGGTCCTGGCGGACACCAGGTTGGACATGAGGCAGTGACGTGCTCTTGCTGTAAAGAAGGCGAACGGTGTCCTGGGCTGCATTAGGCAAAGCAGGTCAGTGGAGGTCATCCAGTGATCAGCACTGGTGAGGCCACACCTGGAGTGCTGTGGCCGGTTGTGGGCTCCCCAGTACAAGAGAGACATGGACAAACTGAAACATAGGAAAGTCCCTCTGAGTATCAGGAAACACTTCTTTTAGTGTGAGGGTGACTGAGCACTGGCACAGGTTTCCCAGTGAGGTTGTGGAGTCTCCATCCTTGGAGATATTCAAATGTCTGGACATGGTGCTGGGCAACTGACTCTAGATGGTCCTTCCTGAGCGAGGGGGTTGGACCAGAGGGACCCCAGAGGTCCCTGCCAGCCTCAACCAGTCTGTGCTTCTGTGATCCTGAGCTGGTGGGTGTGCTGGAGGTGGTGGGTGTGCTGGAGGTGGTGGGTGTGCTGGAGGTGGTGGGTGTGCTGGAGGTGGTGGGTGTGCTGGAGCTGCGTGCTGTATTGGAGCCGGAATGTGTGTTGGAGCTGGTGGACGTGCTGGACTTGTAGGACTTGATGGCCAGGAGTAGCCCAGCATTCTGCTCTTCCTGGCCCTCAAGCGCAGTCACTGACCTCGTGTCTCCCCCCGGCATCACTCAGCGAGGCCACATCTGGCTGCACAAACAGCATTCAACCATGAAAAACCACAGGGCTTCTGTAATTTCTCTCCTGGAGCCGGGTGCCAGGTGACACCAGGCTGCCGGCAGCATCAGCAGCTGCTCTGGGGACGCGCGTCAGCGGGGACCTGACCCGGCCGTGCCAAGGGGACCCCCAGTTCACAGCGAACACCCTCAAAATACCCCTCAGGACCCTGAGCTCCCTTCAGAGGAGCCGACCCCTTCCCGCGGGCCGCTTCGAGGGGAGGGAGAGCCCCCGGCAGTGCCTGGGCACCCTCCCCAGCCCCGCAGGCACCCCAGAGCACCTGGGGCACTCCAGCCCAGGCTCATGGTGTCGGGGGGGCCCCCTCGGCGCTAAACAGTGCAGGAGGGTGTGGGGCTGCTGCTTCCCCGGTCTGAGGGTCTCGGGGGGGGGGGGGGAGAGGGGGCTGGAAGGGCTTGGGGGGGACTGGGGGGAGGTGATGGAGGATCTCGGGGGGTCTGGGGGTGGGATGGAGGGGCTGGGGGGGCTGGGGGGAGGGGATGGAGGATCTCGGGGGGTCTGGGGATGGGATGGAGGGTCTGGGGGGGACTGAGGGGAGGGGATGGAGGATCTCGGGGGGTCTGGGGATGGGATGGAGGGTCTGGGGGGGACTGAGGGGAGGGGATGGAGGATCTCGGGGGGTCTGGGGATGGGATGGAGGGTCTGGGGGGGACTGAGGGGAGGGGATGGAGGATCTCGGGGGGTCTGGGGATGGGATGGAGGGTCTGGGGGGGACTGAGGGGAGGGGATGGAGGATCTCGGGGGGTCTGGAGATGGGATGGAGGGTCTGGGGGGGACTGAGGGGAGGGGATGGAGGATCTCGGGGGGTCTGGGGATGGGATGGAGGGTCTGGGGGGGACTGAGGGGAGGGGATGGAGGATCTCGGGGGGTCTGGGGATGGGATGGAGGGTCTGGGGGGGACTGAGGGGAGGGGATGGAGGATCTCGGGGGGTCTGGGGATGGGATGGAGGGTCTGGGGGGGGACTGAGGGGAGGGGATGGAGGATCTCGGGGGGTCTGGGTGTGGGATGGAGGGTCTCAGAGGGAGGCTGGAGGGGTTTGGGGGGGGGGCTGGAGGGGCTGGGGGTGAGATGGTGGGTCTTGGGGGGGGATGGGGGCGGGATGGAGGGTCTCGGGGAGTCTGGTGGGGCTGGGGGTGAGTGAGATGGAATGTCTCGAGGGGGGCTGGGGGAGGCTGGAGGGTCTTGGGGGGGGGGGGGGCTGGGGCAGCCGGGGGTGAGCTGGAGGGTCTTCGGGGGGGCTGGGGGTGGGACGGAGGGTCTCGGGGGCGGAGGGAGGGGCTCCCCCGCGGCCGGAAGGGACCCGCCCCCCCCGCCGCAGGGGCCGCCCCGGGGGAGGGAGCCGGGAGCCGGGAGCGGGGGGGGCCGGCCCGGGGCGGAGCCGGCGGGGGGGGGAGCCCGGAGCCCGGAGCCCGGAGCCCGGAGCCCGGGGCCGGCGGCCGCGCCATGGGGGCCTGTCTCGGCGTGTGCTCGCTGCTCAGCTGCGTGAGTGCCCGCCCGGCCGGGGGGGACCGGGGGGGGGGACCGGGGGGGTGGGGGGGAAAGGGGCTGAGGCCCCTCCGAGCACCGCAGCGGCGGGCGCGGCCCGGGGGCGGGGGAGTCGCTGGAGCTGCGGGTCCAGAGGAGGGTTCGGGGGTGGGGGGGGGGGTGCTGGGGGGTCTGAGGGACTCACTGGGGATGATACACCCGGGGGGGGCGGGGGGAGCGCCGGGGGGTTCCGAGGGAAGCCCGGAGGTTGCGCCGTGCTGCAGCCGGGGGGTTGCGGGGGGACCCCCGGGGGGGGGTGCACCCCGCTGTGCCTGGGGACACCCGGAGCAGGGCATCCCCCTGCCCCCCGGGGGTGTCCGGGGGAGACCCAGGGGGTTCGCCCTGGAGAGCTCTGGGGCTCCTAAATATCGTGGTCACGGGGAACAGGGAGGCTGAGGGGTGGTGCGCCCACCCCACTGCGCCTGGGGGATGTGGGGAGCTGGGGGGAGCGGAGGGGTTCTGTCCCCCCTGCCCTGATACACCGCGGGGGGGGGGGGGGGGTGTCCAGTCCTGCTGCACCCGTGCGATTCTGAGGGGCTGGGGGGTCCAGCTTGGTTCTCACTGACAAGTCTCAAAGCAGGGGGCTGGGAATGGTGTAAGAGAAGGGGCTGGGATAGGGGGTGCAGGTCCATGGGGGGGGGGGGGGGGGGCAATGTGGGGGGTGCCCTGGCCCAGGGTGCGTGATTCGGGGTGCCGTGCCCAGTGACGCAGGCGGGTGCCCACGGCTGGTGTTGCCTTTCCTGGCGTTGCCTCACCTGCGGGCACGGGGCCAGGGCAGGGCGGCGAACCCAGCCCCAGAGCCGCCGGCCTGGGAACCTGGAAATGGGGCCGGTTTTGCAACTTGACCTCAAACTTTTGGAGGTTTAGTAAAAATGGGAGCTTTCAAAACGTAAGATCGGATGGAGGACGGTCTGCGAGGCCTCTGTCTGTAACAGGTCTGACGCTTTTCCTAACGGGCAGGTGTTGGAGAAGCCAGGAGCTACTCTGGAGCTGGGCTGGGAAGGTTTCTGGCCTAATTCTGGATTTTTTCCCAAAAATACTTATTCTGGCCCAGGCCATGGTAACGGGGTAGAGTTGGTGTATAGGTTTAGTTCTCCTATTCCTTCCAGTAGAGCTTGTTGATTAAGGGGGTGTTTTAGCTCAATTCTGAACTGAAAAACCACAACAGGGAAAAAAAAAAAATAAAACAAACACCCAGTCTTTGTATTTTTTTTTTTTTTTTTAATTTTTAATAAGAAAGTCTGAACTAACTCCTGGTCAGCATGCATCATTTGACTCGAAGCAGCATCAGATTGCCAAGCCTTCCCATTAGTGCTTTCCCATTAAAACTATACAAGCTGCTCCTGAGTGGAACTCCCATCGTGCGAGAAAAATTTCCCTTCCTCTGCCTCCAGCGATTTGCCAGGCTCTTTCCACCACTGCCACGAGCAGCGCGGTTGTCCCGAGCTGCCTTCCTTGCGGGACAGGGTCGGTGTGGCCAGCAGGAGCCTGCCCAAGCCAGAGCAAACCCCGGGGTGCGTGCAGCCCTCCGCCACGGTTTGGGCACCTTGTGGGGCCCATCAGCCTCCTGGGACCCGGGCAAAGCCACCCGCCAGGCGTGAGAGCCGCCCGCCTGCCGAGCCCGTGCCTGGCCCTGTGGGTCTGGTGCTGAGTAACCTGCCGGGTCGTTAATTTAACAGGATATAAAGACCGGTTGCTCAGCATTGCTTTTGTCTGACTCAACCTCTACATCCCTGGGTTTGCTGGGGCGATGGCAGCTTGCAGAAGATGTGTTTAGGTTGGTGTAGTTGATCTGGTGTTGCTGGGGTGATGTAGTTGTGTTGGACTGGGTGCTTGTCCAGCTCCGGCCACGCTCTCCCAGCCACCCTTACATGTGAGTCGTGCTGGAGGTGAGCTGGATTTAATGAGGAAGCCGATAGCGAAACTGGAGAGATTAATCTTTCATCTGCAGTGGCTGAAAACTGATGCTTCCTCATTAATCCACTGCTCTTGTGCTCCAGCCACTTCCCTTGGTTGGCTTTTTCCATCCTGCTGTTTGGCCGTCGGTCGTGTTCGCACTTAGGACTGTATTTAAAAGTCTCTGAAAGGAGGTGTATCGGAGCGTGTCCAGCACTGCCTTAATGTGGGGGGGGTTCTCCTTGCTCTGAGCACATTTGCTTTTTAAAAGCTGAATTCAGGAGGGGCCTGGGCAGCCGGTCAGGTTAGCAAATGGCACAAGGGATCTGCTTCCTTTGCAAAAGGTGCTTGGAAGGGGGGATACCCAAGAAGGGCACCAGGAGCCATGAAAAAAGGCTTCTGGTGACACGAGACTCTCACATTACTGCTGCACAGAGCAGGTCAGCAGGACGGGGCTGCCATACCCTGTTACCTCGGCTGTTGCCTTCCTGTGGTTGCAACAGGCTGTAAAACCTGAAATATGGCCACGGAGCTTGGCCGTGTAAGACTTGTCCTTGAAAATAAACCTCCGGCAGGCTCCAGGGACGCTGCGGGCTCCCGAAAACCTCGTACTAGAAACTACCTCACCCACCTGCAGCTTTCCCAGAGGGGAGCCAGGGTTCCTCTTCGCCCCCAGCACCCGCACCGGCCCCGGGCAAGGTGTGCTACCTGAGGCTCTGCCTCCTGCCAGTCTTCAGTGATGCTTGGACATCCCAAATCCAAGAACCTGCTGAGCAACAACAAACCTCAGGATTTTTCAGGGCATTTTCAGTGATTTTGGGACTAGTGCTTTTTGTTGGCACTGCAAGGAGAAGATCTGGAGGTACTGAGGTGCTTAAAGCTAAGGGTGCACTAGGTGCTGGGTCAGGTCAAATAATGCAGTAATTCTGTGTTAAAAGGGATTCTGGTTGTTCCCCCCTTTTTTTTTTTTTTTTTTTTTTTTTTTTAATTTGAAAAGGAAATACAGTAACACTGCTGTATTTTAAATGGATTCTTGTGCAAGTGGTGCATTTAATGAGCCTGGAAGGAAGCAATCTTTAATTGAAGGGCATTTTTTCCTGCTTTCAAGTTGAAAGCATGAAGTGATGTCCCAGATGAGGGTCCCTGTGGGATGTGGGGGCTGTCTCACCCGCCCTGGCAGCCGTGGGTACCGTCAGCTCAACACAGCCTCTGGTGGGGCTGGGATGTGGGTAAAGAGGAGTCGATCAGGAAGGAGATATTTTTTCTCAAATAACTATGTGCTTCCGTTTAAAAAAGAAATTCAAAACCACCTCTAGTGATTTTGGGGGCATCAGTGTGATCGATCATGAGCATCTCTGATGAGAGAGCTGTGGGTTTGATGTCCTGCTTGCACAGCAGCTCAACATCTGGTTTTCTTTTCTTCCACGTCCATTTTTTATGCTAATTTTAGCAACGAGAAATATATATTTGAGTATATGTATACCAAGCAATATTTAGTTAAATTGATTGCTGGGCAAAATTAGGAAGCACACAGCCGTAATGAACACACAACACATGCGGATCCCTTAATAGTGGGATAGAGCTGAACCCTTCTCCTGCTTGCAAGTGCATCTGGCTGGCTGATGCGTCTCAAGTGCAGGGGAGGAAGAGCTGATCAAAGGGAAGAAATGAAGTATCAAAAGCAAAACAAATCAATGAAGTTAGCTTGTAAATAGAGGGGAAGTAGTTTGCTAAGGACCAGATTCCTAGTAAGAACCTGGCTCTGATACTGGAGTTAAAAACACCCAATGCCGTAAATTTTTAAATAAGTGGATTTGTGAATGCCTTTCAGCTAGAGAAGAGTATTTGGAAAGTGAAGCAGCAGTATTTTAAACAAACTCCAAATACTTAATTCCCGTTCATCTAGGCAATACCTGTAGCTGGAAGCTTGCCAGCACCTGCTTGGGGATTTCTCATTGCTCCCTGGGCCGGTGCATGGGACAGGGGAGGCTGTGGGCTTGTGATGGCTTCAGTGAGGCATTAAAAAAAAAAAGAAATAGCTGGAGGTTTCCCTATTTTAGAGGACGTGGGGTGTATTTTGCTGTTGCATTGCTTGGGCTGTCTGTCCCTAGAGCCCTGCTGTTACTGCTTACACCACAGAGAGTGGAACAGAATTGGGAATTTAGTTTTAATTTAGTTTTAGGGCCCTTTGAGGTTTTATTTAGCACTTTAACCCATCTGTTTGTTTACCTGGGGTCAATGCTGGCTCCTGGTTCAGCAGCCAGGAGGGCATTGCCACATGCTTTGCCTTGATGTGAGATGTTGGTTTCACTTCCCCAGCCAACCCTGCTGATTCCTGAGAGTGCAGCATCTTCACTGCAAACCTGAGGCACACCTTATTCCCCTATTTTTTTTCCCAGATATTTACATGGGACCTTCTGGTCACATGACATAGTGGATTAGTGACCCAGCAGTGACAGACCATCCCAAAATGCTTCTTCCACTCTCTAGCCTGAAAATGCCCTATTTATTCTCCAGCTTCACTGTCTTTTAGAGAAATAGGGTTTCAAGATGCGGCAGGGAGTTGGGAGATCCCACTGCTGCTGGGGATAATTAAGAGGCTGAAAATCTTCCCTGTTGGGATCAGGGATGCCACTCTCAGGGCTGGCCATGGCCCTGTCCTGCGTTCCTGCCCCATTACGGGCTTTAAAACCTGTTATGCAAAACCCCTGCAGCTGTTCTTCCTCTAAGACAAATGATTGAGGCACTCCCACACCCTGTAGTTATTAAATAGGTGGGTGTATGTCCAAGTTGTTGGACAAATTGGTGGGACCAGTGTATAACGGAGCAGCAAAACTCAACTCAGCCCAGCCCAACTGGTGGGGTGCAAACAGCACCTCCCTAATGCTCCTCTCATGGCTTGCAGACGCCAGGGAAGTCTAAGAATAGTTTAATAAAAAATTCCATTTCCTCCTTGTAAGCCTTGTTCTGTGCAATCCTTGTGCAGGAACCCCCCACCAGTGTTTTGCTAGGCTGTAAAGTTGGGTTTCCCCAGTTCCCTGCTCTGCACCCAGCTCTGGCACAGCAGTGGGAGCCCCTGGCATGGGGGTGCACCCGGCAGCACTGCCAATGCTGGATTTGGGATGACAGGACCCACTGCAGACACCCAGGGATGCTGTGCCTCAGTTTCCCCCCCTGTCAATGGCCTTAGGGAGGGGGAAGGATGGCAGAACAAGCTAGTTTCCCAATGATGCTGATACTGGTGTTTTTCTCATCCTGTATTAGATTGAAAAGGCAACCTTAAATTATATTACAAACTCTTTTTTTTTTTTGGAAATAAAGGAGTCTTTTTTTTGCATGTAATTGCTGGGGAGCAAAAAAAGATGAGGATGTCTCTAGTACTCTTGGTGTCATTTTCCAAGCTGGTTGGTTATTGCAGTGAATCTGTTCCCATGGTTCTCTTGGTTTTCTGCAACTTTTGGGGGGGACTTGGGGCCGTTTCCATGAGGTCCCGCGGGGTGTGGGTTGTGATGCTGGCTGGTGAGAAGCTCTAAGCAAAGAAATCCAGCGGTGTGGATTTCCAGGCAGATCTTAGTTTGACCTGGTCACATGTTTTGGGGGGAATTTCGACCCGTTCAGCGTAGGGCTGCTCTCATTGCAGGTGTCCTGTCTCTGCGGCTCCGCACCATGCCTGCTCTGTGCCTGCTGCCCCTCGGCCAAGAACTCCACCATCTCCCGCCTCCTCTTCACCTTCTTCCTCTTCCTCGGCACCCTCGTGTCCATCATTATGATAATCCCTGGTGTGGAGAAGGAGCTGCACAAGGTAAATAATTCCCAGAGGCCGCTGGGCTTGGTCACCACAGGGAAGTGATTTAGCTCATGGTGGGTATGTGAGGCTGAATCGGAAAGTGAATTTCTGGGGTGTGATGTTGCTTCTGTTACTTTTTTTTTTTTTTTTTTTTTTCCAAGCATCTCGCTGGGAGAGGGTGTTATTAACCCTGGCTTTCCACAGACGGGAAAATGCAGTGGGATAATTTCATGCATTATCTAGTTTTCCCAGATGTCTCCCAGGAAAGTTTCCTGCATCACATTTTTGGGGTTAAATTGGCCAAGTGACTTGCAAGCCATAGAGGTGGGTGTTCCGATGCAGGGAGCTGAGGTCTGCCAGCTGAGCCAATGCAAAGGCTGTGCCAGGCTTTTGGGGAAATGCTGGTTTCATCCCAGCTTTCCCCTGACCTGCAGGGGTGGCTTTAGCTGTGTCACCCCACCCGCTGTCCCCAAGCAGGCCGAGCTCTTGCTTTACAGGAGCAGCCGTGGGCTGGCCCACCTCTGGGGGCTTGTGGTGGGTGCAGGGTGCTGGGGGGATGCTCACCCCTCTGTCGCCTTTGCAGCTCCCCGGCTTCTGTGAAGGCAGTGGGTCGGTCCTGGGGGTCCAGACCCACGTCGACTGCGTCAGCTTCCTGGGCCACAAAGCCGTGTACCGCGTGGGCTTTGCCATGGCTGCCTTCTTCTTCCTCTTCGCCGCAGTCATGGTGTGTGTGCGCAGCAGCAAGGACCCGCGAGCCGCCGTGCAGAACGGGTGAGTGTTGGTCCCCGGGGGTGGGGGGGGGGGATGCTGGGGGGGGGGGGAAGACCCCCCCCCCCCCCCCCCCCCCCTCGCCTTCCCTGCTGGGTTCCTGCTTGCAGACTCTGCCTCCTTTCTCCTCCTGCAGCTTCTGGTTCTTCAAGTTCCTGGTGCTGGTGGGGATCACGGTGGGGGCTTTCTACATCCCCGACGGTGCCTTCACCTCAGGTGAGGAGCTGCCCCTGCTCTCCTCCACGTCTCTGCGTTAACCCTCAGCACAGGATTAAACCCAGGGCTGGGGTCGGCATCCCCTCTTCCATGTGCCCCTGCCATTGCCAAATTCAATTATCCCTGCTTTTAACTGTTTTTTCTCTTCCCCTCAAGTCTGGTTTTACTTCGGTGTAGTCGGCTCCTTCCTCTTCATCCTCATCCAGCTTGTCCTCCTCATCGACTTTGCTCACTCCTGGAGCCAGCTGTGGCTGCGCAACGCAGGCGAGAGCAACGCCAAGGGCTGGTACACAGGTCGGTATGACGGGCACCCCAGAGGCTTTAGGGATGGGGAAGCTCATCCTGGGGGTGGGCGACACTGAGCTGGTGGGGACTGGGGGGCTCTGCTCCAGCCTCTTCCCTTTTTACTTTCTCCCCCAGCCCTTTGCATTGTCACCTTCATCTTCTACGCCATCTCCATTGCGGCCATAGCGCTGCTCTACATCTACTACACCAAGCCCGAGGGCTGTACGGAGGGCAAGGTCCTCATCAGCATCAACCTCATCCTCTGCCTCATTGTCTCTGCTGTGTCCATACTGCCCAAGATCCAGGTGAGGCGGCGGGGGGGGCACCTGTGAGGCTGGTGGCCATGTCACCCCGGGGTGCAGGACCGGCCCTGAGCCCCCGCTGTTGTGTTTGCAGGATGCTCAGCCGCACTCGGGGCTGCTGCAGGCGTCCCTCATCACCCTCTACACCATCTACGTCACCTGGTCCGCCCTGGCCAATGTACCAAGTAAGCAGGATGAGGCCTTGGGTTCAGGAGGGAGGTGCACGGCGCAGGAGCACACACTGGGGTGGGTGCTTTGCCCCTCCCTGGGTCTCTGGGGGGCTGGAGAAAGGTGCTGAACCCCCTGCGTGTCCCCCCCCAGTTCAGACCTGTAACCCCACGCTGCTGGTGAGGAACAGCACTGGCTCAGCGATGGCCACCCAGCCGCTGACGACCTGGTGGGACGCCCCCAGCATCGTCGGGCTGATAATCTTCATCCTCTGCACCCTCTTCATCAGGTGAGGACTTGGCTCGTGTCCCCGGGCACTGCAGCATCCCTCTGCCTGCCCAGAGCAGAGGCATCAGGAGGCATTTAGGGAATGGTGGTGCTGGAGGGGAGGTCACAGCTTGGTCCAGGGTTTTTGTCACCAAGTGTCTCTTGCAAAGCCACCCTGGTCCCCAGGGACGCAGGCAGGCAGCCCCCGGGGGTCGTGGGTGCAGCTTTTTGGGTTTTCTGCACAAACTGCATCCCTGAAACTGGCCCGCCTGTCCTGCGGACAGCCCCGCAGGGCATCCCCAGGCGGGTGGGCACGGTGGGGGGGGGTGGGGGGCTGAGCTCAGGCTGGGGGACAGCCCGGGAGGCAGCGGGCTGCCAGCCCTGAGCCTGCCGTCCCTCTGCCCGCAGCGTCCGCTCCTCGGACCACCCGCAGGTCAACAAGCTGATGCTGACGGAGGAAAGCGCCGCCGGGGCGGGCGGCGAGGCGGCGGCTGTGGAGAGCGGGCTGCACCGCGCCTACGACAACGAGCGGGACGGCGTGTCCTACAACTACACCTTCTTCCACCTCTGCCTCCTCCTCGCTGCCCTCTACATCATGATGACCCTCACCAACTGGTACAGGTGGGCAGAGCTCCCGCGGGGACCCGGGATCCCTTGGGATGTGGCGGGAGCAGGGACCCAGCCCCTGGGGTGCTGTAGGTGGGGGTCACCCCCCCCCCCCCGGGTGAGCTGCGGGGACCTGCGTGGCTGCAGGCCTGGGGGGAGCATGCTCTCCCCTCCATGCTCTTTGCATCGCACTCAGGGCTCGGTGCTTGCAGCCTCCATCCCTCCCCAGCCCGGTGCCTGGGGCGGGGAGGGGGATGCCGCCCTGCTGGCACAGCACAGTGATGGGTGCTGCCCTCTCGTTTGCTGTTTCAGGCCAGATGAGAGCTTGCAGGTGCTGACGAGCCCCTGGACGGCCGTGTGGGTGAAGATCTGCTCCAGTTGGGCTGGGCTCCTGCTCTACCTCTGGACCTTGGTGGCTCCGCTGGTGCTGCCAGACCGAGACTTCAGCTAAGGTGGCCTCGGGCATCCTGCTGCTGGGTCAGAGTCACCGTGGCTTTGTCCTGGGGACAGTCCCAGCTCTGCCTCAGGCTCTGCAGGCAGGAGCAGCTATGCGGGGTTGTGCCTTCTTGCAGACCTTCTGTTTTAATTTTGAAAGAGATGAAGTGCCAAGTAGGGAAAATCAGCAAGGGCTGACAAAGACTTGAGGATGATTTTCAAGCTCTTATCATCTCCATGTTTGCCTAGTGCTGTCGGTGGTGCCTCTATACCCTCTTCTTCTAGCAGAGACCACTGCCTTGCCTTGGGAGGGTTTGGTTTTCACCAGCTGCTGATGTTGTATCGCTTGGTGCCCTGAGACTGCCGGTGCCTTTTGGAGGGGCTCTGGGGCCCGGCTGTGTACCAGGACCCGGCCACTGTCGCCTCCCCAAAGAACCCAGAGGAAAATGAATCTTGAGAATTTGTGGCTGGAGGCAGATGTCCCACTGCATCCCCCCCAGCCTTGGCGGTGGCCCCAGCTCCTTGAGGAACTCCCGTGGGAGGATGGGTCCCGGGTCCTCGTGGGAGCGCAGGTCAGGGTTCCTGCAGGCTGTGCTGGCCTGACACCGCTGCCTTGCCTCGTTAATAAAGTCTCATTTGGAATAAGGTGGGCAGGTTTGTCCTTCTGGGGTCTTTGCTGCAGCGTGTGTGGGAGGTGGAGGAAAGGGGATGTATTAAACAGACCTAAGGCCAGGGTGAGGGCATGGGGGGCTGCCCCGGGGGGGTGCAGGCAGGGGTGGCATGGCGGCTGGGAGCCCTGGACCCTGGTGCCAGCCTGTGGCACCCTGAGCGTTGCTGCAGGAGGAGGGTGCTGATAGGCAACAGGGTGTGCACGACATGGGCTGCACCCCGTGCCCAGGGGCACACGGGGATGGGGTGAGCACCCTGGTGGGGTGCCCCCTCTGGCAGGGGGAGGGGGGTGGCCCCGGGTGGGTGCCCCCTCTGGCAGGGGGAGGGGGGTGGCCCCGGGTGGGTGCCCCCCCTGGCAGGGGGTCCCTGTCCTGCAGCTGCAGCCGTGGGAGGCCGGAGGTGCCCGCTGCCCGCCCAGCCGCGGGTGCCGGGGCAGGGGCCCTGTGCCCGGCGCTGTGCAGCCCCTCACCGTGGCCGGGCTGGCTCTGGGCGGGGAAGGGGCCCGGGGGGGGGGGGCTGCGGGGGAGGGGCGGGGGCAGGGCCGGGATCAGCCACCAGGTGGCGCTGGTGGCACGCGCCCGGCACCCGCACCCTGCTTCAGCCTGCACCCCGCATTCCGCACCCTCATCCTGCACCCTGCTTCAGCCTGCACTCTCCACCTGCACTTTGCTTCATCCTGCACCCTCATTCTGCACCCTGCTTCAGCCTGCACCCTCATCCTGCACCCTGCTTCAGCCTGCACCCCGCATTCTGCACCCTCCGCCCGCACCCTGCTTCATCCTGCACCCTCATCTTGCACCCTGCTTCATCCTGCACCCTCATCTTGCACCCTGCTTCAGCCTGCACCCTCCTCCCGCACCCTGCTTCAGCCCGCACCCTGCTTCAGCCTGCACCCCTCATTCTGCACCCTCATCCTGCACCCTCATCCTGCACCCTGCTTCAGCCTGCACTCTCCACCTGCACTTTGCTTCATCCTGCACCCTCATTCTGCACCCTGCTTCATCCTGCACTCTCATCCTGCACCCCTCATTCTGCACTCTACGCCTGCACCCTGATTCATCCTGCACCCCTCATTCTGCATCCTCTGCCCGCACCCTGCTTCATCCTGCACCCTCCGCCCGCACCCTGCTTCAGCCTGCACCCTGCTTCAGCCTGCACTCTCCACCTACACCTTGCTTCATCCTGCACCCCTCATTCTGCACCCTGCTTCATCCTGCACCCCTCATTCTGCACTCTACGCCTGCACCCTGCTTCATCCTGCACCCCTCATTCTGCATCCTCTGCCCGCACCCTGCTTCATCCTGCACCCTCCGCCCGCACCCTGCTTCAGCCTGCACCCTGCTTCAGCCTGCACTCTCCACCTACACCTTGCTTCATCCTGCACCCCTCATTCTGCACCCTGCTTCATCCTGCACCCCTCATTCTGCACTCTACGCCTGCACCCTGCTTCATCCTGCACCCCTCATTCTGCACTCTACGCCTGCACCCTGCTTCATCCTGCACCCCTCATTCTGCATCCTCTGCCCACACCCTGCTTCATCCTGCACCCTCCACCCACACCCTGCTTCAGCCTGCACCCCTCATCCTGCACCTTCAGCCTGCACCCTTCTTCATCCTGCACCCTCAGCCCGCACCCTGCCTCACCCTTACATCCTTCCTCATCCTGCACCCCTCGCCCTACATCCTGTGCTCTGCACCCTTCATCGTGTGTTCTGCACCCTCCATCCCTCGGCCTGCCTTGTGAATCCTATACCTTGTGTCCTGCATCCTTTGTCCTGCACCCTGCATCCCACATCCTTTGTTCTGCAGCACAGGCTGGGGTGTGTGGCCTGGGCAGAAACTGGGAAGGGGCAGATGCTCTCCCAGCATCATGTTTGCAGATGCTCCTTGCCTTTGCTGCTCCAGCCTAGGCCATGTATGTGGGGGAGCTGCAGGTCCCCCCACTGCAGACCAGCTGTGCCACTGGGAGCTGCCTGGCACCTGGGTAACTCCTACATCCCCATATGCACCTTGGACAAGTGACACTTGCCAATGCACCACCATCCCCAGGGCCTGTGGGGACACACTCAAACCTTTCCCCTGATGAGCATTGCCTTTTGCATTTCCCACCTTTCAGGAGAGCAGAAAAACTCTGTGCCTACTGCAGCCGGCTGGTCTCTGCCCGGGCTGTGACTGCTGACTGTGGTGCCAGATCTGCAGGCAGCTCCTCCTGAAATGCCCAACCAGAGCAAGTCAACAGGCGATAAACCCAAGGCACCGGCTGCATGAAACATGCCCTTGGCTCCCAAATGCCATCCCTGGCCAGGGGGTCTGTGAGGATGAGGATGGCTCTGCAGAGCCAGCAGCACCCGCTCTGGTTCCAGCAGTGACGTAGCAGCAGCTGGAGGTGACACAGTGACAGGGTGTCCCGCTCAGGACAAGTCTCCTGCTGAGCCAGCAGCAGGTCTCTAGCTACAAACAAACTGCCTCATCCCTGGGATTTTCTCTGAAACAAGAATTGCTTGTTCTTTCTTTCAGCTTTCCAGCTGCATCCAAACAGCTCCTGGAATAACCCACCAGCGAGTGGCACTGTGCTCCTGCCCCTGGCTTGCCTGGGGACGGTCTGGGCTGCACAAGGGTCCGCTACAAAATTAATTTTCACGTCAAACCTCCTATTCATTATTTACTTAAATAAGAATAAGCTTCGCTGCTTGTTTTCTTTAGGAGACATTTCAAACCATTAGGCCTCAATGTAATGACCATTGCACGCCCCCCCCCCAAAAAACCTAAAGAAACTGAGTCAGGGCAACTCAGGGTGACTCTGGCTGTGCCACGATGGCTGCCAAGCCACACTGCCTCTGGAATCCCTTGATTTTGGGTTTCAGCAGAGGAAAATCTCCCCATGGTGGGTTATTTCCTGTATGATGTGACTGTCCCATCCGACTGTATTTATCTATCTGTATTTCCTCCAGTTGCAGAGCACCCCAAGCAGGAGTTCAAGCCTGGATGCTATTACAAGCCCTGGCTGCATATTTTAATGCAAATAACAATAATAAAAAAGATGGATTGATGGCAAAAAAACCTCCAGGCCTAAGCATGATGTGAGTGAGGCTCATGGGCAGAGAGGTTGAGTTCAGCCTGGGCACTCGCAATCCCCTCCCAGTGCTTGTCACGGGAACCAAGAGTTGTGGCTGTTCTGCATTTGCTTGTTAGCACCTAAGACCCATTTCTGAGTTCAAATATCGCGTCGTCTGCAGGCAGGGAGGATGGGAAGCAGCCCCCTGCCAGCTGGGCATCACCTGCTGAGCTCACTTGAGTCCGTGGGAGAGGCTGCAGGGAGCGTCCCAGGGAGGCTGTCACCTTCCAGCGCAGGGGGACACGCTGCTGGCCAGCCCCCAGACACACCTGGGACACCCGGCCACGGCTTCGCTTCACGAGTCTGCTGGAAAGGGGATGCACCATGGAGAGCTCGGTACACGGGTGCACAACTGGCATAGAGGCCGTGTCATCACAGAGTCTAAAAACTGCCTTTTTTTGGTGACTGTCACTTCCAAAGGGCAATGCCCCCCATGCCGTGCACACGCCCTGCAGCAGCAGCTATGCTTTTGGGAGGTTAGCTGGGTATTTAAGAAATATACTGGCAGCGTCTGGTTGCTGGAGCTCTGCTAGTGATGATGAGCTACAGGCTCTCTCGGAAGTGTGCCCAGTTTAGATAGCATCTTCAGCCTCCAGGTCCTGGTGGCCTCAGCAAATGGCCCATTTGCCACCACGGGCCAGCCCGTGGCACTCCCAGCCACCTCGTTGCAGAAGCGGAGTGGCCCTTTTCATTCTAATTTTCCGGGTGAATAATTCATCAACAAACATCTGCCATCTCAGCAGAAAACACAGCCCTGGGTTGGGTCCCCTCCGTGCCTGTCCCTCCCCACCGTGCACCCGAGTCGCAGCCCCAGCCTGGAGAGCAGGATCAGGCCCTGCATGTGCTGGGAAATCCCCACACCAGGGCTGCCCACGGGTGGGGCTTTAATTGCTCTAATTTGTTGTCCCTGGCGGGGGACCTCAGAATGAGAGATACAGGGGAAACAGGGGTACTGAGGGAAATTGGGGAACGCAGGCAAAGTCACTCAGCAGTTCGTATTACAAAAGATAACTGTGACCACTGCGTTGTAAAATTCAACTGAATTTAAACCCAGGGATGGGGCCGGTAGCCTCTTGGGGCTGCTCGGGTCATCAAGGGGTTTAGGACCACGCAGGGTGGGGACCCCCCAGTAACGCCCAGGACCAGCGTGTTGGGGGCAGCCCACAGTCCCAAACCGCTCCCCTGCCCGCCCCAGCCCCCCGGCCATGCCAGCTGCTGCCCAGGGCTCTGCAGCATCGTTTTATTCTCTTTAATACATGGTCTCCCTTGTTTTTTTATTTTATTCATGGGATTAACACATCGGGCAGCAGCCAGACTGGCTTTTGCTCAAAAGAGGAGGGGAAAGCGTTTACATAATTCATTTAAATGAGGCACCCGGGGAAATCCAAATTGGACTTCCAGCATGTTTACAGTGCCACGCAGAGCCCCATGATCCGCATCTGGAGCCATTAATGCCTCCCAGATGGACCACAGAGCATGTATAATTAATTGTGGAGCAAAGCCATTGCCCAGCCTCCAAAGATAACGCTCAGAGGCAGAGGCAGCATCGCCCAACGCTATCCCCCCTGGGGCACAGATTTATTTCAGTGGGTCTTTTCTCTTTCCCAAGATGTTCAGCCAACCTTCCTTGGGGTGGGAAGATGCTGGGGAACCCGTGGGGTTAAAGCAGCAGGAGGAATAAGCCAAGCTGGGCTGTGAAATCATGGCTGCTTGGCTGGGCTTGTGGGCAAGCATCATCTGCGAGGACTCCTCAGTGTGTGTTTGAGCCCTGTGGCGATGGGCAGGCATCAGGGCTGAGTCCTGCACCAGGGAAGGGGTAAGAGGGGTGCTCAGAAGTGAGAAAACCCACTACAGTGGGGCA